TCCCATCACGATCCATCGCCGCCAGTATGAAATAAAATCTCCTGCAGGGAATGGCTTATATAACGAGTATTGTACATATTAAAAAAAAGCTTCTTCATGGAAAACATTTACGAAAATATATGTATAATTATATTTAAATGTATTATATTTTTTTTTTTTTTACTTGAATGGTATATATACACACCACGTATTAATAATAAATTTGATCTTTTTATTTGTTTCGTCGAAATTTCTTAGTGTAATAATGTTCCATTGTTCTAAAAGAGGGACATTTAATTATTTGGAATCACATGTCTGCCAGGGAACGCGTCTTACCGGCGATTCCACCATAGTGCAAGAAGCTTAAAGAAGGCGAGAGTATACGCCAAGGTAAGACCGAGACAGTCCATGAGAAGTGAGATATCATTCAAGTCGAAATGCACAAAAACGTATGCGTATTGATAATATTGCACTATCACCATCGTTGTCATGTAAATGACCCAACAGAGAGTCGCGTAAGCCGAATCCGGCCACATGCCAATGAAACGCAAGCCGATTTCGACCGGCCGACTGATGGTACTTATGCGTTTCATTGCGACAGTCACCAAACGCTATAAACTGATGACTACCGAGATGTCAAAGCCCCACAAAGTGAACTTTGTTCAGTGATACATAAACGTCGTTTACTGAATAACCGTACGGAGACGATAAAGCGCAGGTCTTTCTACGATCGATTATAATTATACTCGACTATTTTAATGCCATTAGTTCTTAAGAGATTATAAGTATACCGAATAAAAAACAAAACGCGTACTTATTTTTCATTATCCTTTAAAATGGCGCATTTAATAGTGCATAATTGCCTTAGAAATTTCTAAATTTGAAGAAGATCAATTCTAATAACATCTATATCCAACGGAAAAAAAACCTATGCGCGACATTTTTGAAAAAAATGATAATATTTGCGAGCAGAAAACGAATGTAATATGAAAGAAAGTTGTAGAGAATATTTATTAGCTATTAAGTTCAATTAATAGCGTTCAACGAGAAAGCTGGATTATTACTAATGATGGTAATGTTTTATACATTTTCTAAATAATGTTATTTCATGCACGACAGAGCTTTGACTTGTACTACTCAAAAAGAATCGTCACAGAATATGCGATAAAATATAATATTTTATATATTTACACATTTAAATATATATACATATATATTTTTATGTGTATAAGTGTTATATAACATTCCGTTCAACAGAATGAAACTAAAGCTATCCCTGCCATATTATATAAGAGTTACGGCATTTCCTTTGCACACAATATCCTTTTGTTATCGTCGTAGAGATTCAAATTAGTATTCCGGTTTTCTAGAGAAGCCTGTCAAATGCAACCCTTTTCACACACACGATCTTTTTTAATACAGCGCACGCAACACAGATATGTATGACGCAGACGATTTCATAATCTGAAGTAATTAAACATCTGGTTTCAGTTTCAGTGATAGAAATTTCTACACATTTACATAAACTTACGGTTGTGAAACCTTCCAAGGACAGATCGGTTATCCTGCCCGCGGTGATGGTCAACCGTTTCTGCGATCTTAACATCAGGAACATTAAGGTTCGACACTCGCTCGGCGTCAGTTCGTACCAGAGACATTCGTATGCGGCGTCACTGATGGATTTACTCTGCAATAGTAATTACGCGATGAATCGCGTCTAATTGCGCTTCTCTCGGAACCTGAGGAATTCTACCGACGCTACATTACGCTTACCTTAGCGCTGAGATATTCCCCGGCATAGCAAAAGACGAATGCCTCGAGAGTTATCGCGACGTAAAAGATGAGGGACTTCGTTATCATCGTAGCACCTTCTTCCGTACCGATGGACTGCAATGTCGAAACATGTTGGTCGCTGCGAGATCGTAAATTTATATTACTATATACATTTATTTATAAATTTGTATACGCTTTATAGAAACTAATATTTCAGATAAACCGTAATTCTGCACATATATACGTGGCGGAAGAAAGAGTAAGAATCATATAAAAAAAAATGCCTGAAGAACATTTAAAAATAGATGAATACGCTAGATATTTAGATTCATAATCAATCAGCAATGCAAGATGTTCAATTAACTTTCGAATAATGAAACCTTTATATACTGATGAGCAAGTTCAAGCCATAGTAAGTCGCATGCGCGAGCAAATCTTAACTTTAATTGCTGGACTTATTACCGATTTTCTAGACGGAAATTTGGATATAGATCAACTAATTGCCCTGCTTGAAAACGTTGAAGACCCTTAAAATAGAATCTACCTATTTGCGCATGCTCATATCCCTATGATTAACATCCAGTAAAATCCCTCTAGTAAAGATTAATTTCGTGCCTAATGTTATTTCCCTAGAATCCACTAGATCAGTCCTAGTTCTCAGCGTTCCTGGGGTATAGCCACAGATATATAGACTGGATTGAGCATTGCGAGATAAACAAAAGCGCGCCCGCTGTAGAAAGAGAGGTACTATATGGGAGGCTTATGTTTGTCCCTTTTTCTAGCATCTCATTGGTGATTTTCTATATGGAAAAAGACAAAATCACCAATGAGATGCTAGGAAAAAAAACAAAATAGGCCTCCTATATAGTATCTCCCTTTCTACAACGAGCGCGTGTTTGTCTATCGCCACGCTCAGTCCATTCTATATGTATGATATTAAAAAAAAATAATAAATATATATATATATATATATATATATATATAAAATCATAACTCACTATTACAATCAAGAAGCCTATACAACAAATGACCAAAGTATTCCAAATGAACTGGAGTAATGCAATGTTCGAGAAGAGATCTTCAACATTGTCTGACAGATCGATGATTCTTTGATGTCTATTAATCAAAACTTTAATAGCGGTCAGAGATGCGTGATTCTTGGAGGAAATTTTTAGCAAGCCTTGCCGCATGATATCAATCTGACCGCTTATATGCAGTACCTAGAACGTTTAATTTTATAGACACTTTAAAGTAGTGCATACTATTTTTTCCAAAAATCTGAAAGCACAAACTCATATTTAAAAATATGAGACTGGAGTATGTAACACAAGATTCGCTTTTAAAAAATCACTGAAAAAAACACTAATAAATAAGTGCAACGTAGAATCATAATATGTATATCATAAAAATAAAATCACAAACTGTAACAAAAGTACAAGAAGAGATAAATAAACATTAATTTCGACCAATGCACGAGTGCACAAAGCAAAAAAAAAAAATTAGATAGCATACATGCATATATATCGTTTTTTCTTATTGAATACAAGGATGTAATACAGAAACAATTATTCGTCTTTTTCCATGTGAATCCGACGAAATTGATTTTGACAATCTTCGAATTATTACACATATAAAGTATAGTCGAAACTTACCAATGTGACAAGCAAAGCGTTTAGCATAGCGATGATACAAGCTACCGATAGATCATGAAACAATTGGATTACTAGTATCAATTCGAAGATCGGAGAGTTGTCAACATTAAAAGGAAATTCCATTTTAATGGGTAACTCGCGAGCCGTAGTTTCCTGATCGTTCTTATGAATCACCGATCGAAGTATCGGCCCACCGATCGTATAAAAGAACACGGACAGCGCATTTGTCGTAATCATCACGTTGGAGCATTGACGAGATAGATCGGCGTGCCTGATCATCGTGGATACGTCTGAATGAATTGCGATCCCGTCGATCCAATCCTTATTTATCGTATCCAGAATGATATGTAGCTTTCTACGGAACGTTTTGAACATTCAGTGCCGTGTTTCTAGCAAGATAGAAAGGAAGTCGAAAAGATTTTCACGGCAAACGTGATTTATGCTCATCCGCGGAGCATTAAAGATAATACTTTACCGACGATTGAACCAGAGATTGATCAGTTTGAGAAACGACAGGCTATAACCCAACGTGATGCTTAGACCGTCTATGATAACCGAGAGATCGCTGATGTCGAAATGCGCCAGGATATACGAATATTGGAAATACTGCACCACAGCCACTGACGCGATGTAAGTCCACCAATTAATATTTGCGTTTATACAACGCGGCCACATGCCGATGAAACGTAGACCTGCTTCGACCGATTCGCTGATGGTGCTCGCGCGTCCCATCGTAGTTTTATCTAACTTCAACATATATTTCTTGCGAGAGACTACGACTTCTATATGCGCATCTCGTCGGCAATCATAGCAAAATACAGAAGACGGGAAGGGGGAGAAAGATACGGCAATAAGACGTCGATCAATCGTAATTGAACTTTGTAGAAATGGCGAACGCGAAATTAAATGCTTGCCAATTTGCTGGATTATAGTCTTTGAAGGAAACATCAAATTATCCACGGGAAAAATCGCTCATTTACGAATTATTTACTTTAAAAATGCATAAAACTTTTTAAAAACTGTTCAGCGTTCGCTGAAAGTGCAAAGAAAAAAATTAAATATACTGAGACAAAAAGTGTACAATGTAAAAGACAATGTAATGCGAATGTTAAAAAGATGAAGAAAAATATGAGGTACATTAGACAATACATTGCATAGTCGTAGAGTTCTGTCAACTGAAACGCTTACCGGCGCGATTACTTCTATTTGAAAATATAACAGAAATTATAAAAGTATAAATTATTTCTTTATATTGAGATTTTTTATATGCAAAAAAGTACTCATATATGTGCAACAATAACGATCATGAAAATCTAAGCACTTTATTATAAACTGCGGAAGGTAATTTTTTATACATCACCAAACATATTGTCTATATTTATCTATAATTTACTTAAGATCATCATCGATTCACATCGTAGATATCGAATCGATATCAGCAAACGAAAATCGATAGAAAAATCCCAATATTTTTAGTTGCACATACCTAATGGACATCTAGACATGATGATTTGTCTTCGAATTTCAATACATCGCATGCAATACTGACACATACGAAATAGAGGCCTTCATGATCTATAAAAATCATATTAAACAATAATCAAATAAAAAATAAAAAAACTGTAAGAAAACAGCATAAATATAAATAAATCAATCAAGTGATAATCAATTAAATATTTTTATGAAGCAAATATTTTTTCAATTAATCGCGTTAAGAGCATTTTAATCGATAATCAGAATGTAAATCGATTATTCAGAATAATGTCAGTGTTATTCGGCCAAAGTATAAATATAGGATTTTATTAACAAAAAATTCAGTGTGAAAAACGCAGTACGGAAATCTTACATTCGTAAATCCCTCTAGCGACAAATCCATGATTTTTCCAGCCGTGATGGTGAGCCTCCTTTGTGATCTCAACATTATAAGCAGGATGAGTTTGCTATCGTTGGGTTTCAAGTCGTACCATATTGACTTGTATGCCGCATCGCTGATCATTTTGCTCTGGAGAAGAGTGTTGCAAAGATGTCGCATTGTCAGAATGAGATTAATGTATAAATCGATATCACATATAAAAAATCGATATTGATATAAAACATCGTTCAAAGTTAGCGATAATTCGGACATAGTATTTTTATTGAAATTACCGCTTTGAATTATTGTATTTGCGTTTTCATCAAGAAATTGTAAAGTTTTGTGTTACTGATTGAAATTATATTTAATATGTAAAAAAGCATCATTAAAAAAAGCTCATGTAAGAAACATATACGTAATTGTTGTGGACACATCATAACATATTCATATTAAAAGAGAGAAAATTCAACTCTACGATTATAAATAGTGATACGTTTTCCATTGTGAAAATGCAATTGCCATTATCTAAAATCATGTATGGCTGAATCGTTTTGATACTTCATCTATACAATGTAAAAGTCTAAGGATTTCTATTGTGCGTTCCGACCTTGGCACTGAGATATTCCCCGCAAAAGCAGAAGATAAACGCCTCTACCATAGCAGCCATGTAAAACACTATAGCTTTCATTAATGCAGAGCCATCGATCGTATCGGAAACTTGTATCGTGCTGATCGACTGCAACATCGAACCGCGTTGTAGATCGTCTTTTCGCGCAATTCATTCGCGTTTTACTGAATGATCCACTCACTGTCACAATCATATACCCTAAGCAGCAGGTCACTAACGTGCTCGACATAAATTGGATCAACGCGATGTAACAGAAGATTCTTTCAATTTTGTTTGAAAAGACGATGATTTTCTGATGTTTACCGATCAGTTCTTTCGTGATAGAGACGGCTAGCTGTAGATTATTTTTTTCCGGAGAGATTTCTCTCAATGCATCGCACAAGATATCTATCTGACCGCTCGCATGAAGGATCTGAAAACATACATCCTTAAAAAAACTTGAATCAAGGAGGAAACAATATAATTAATGCACACATAAAAAAAAAGTATAAATATATTATTATACGAGATATATATTATAACATGTGAGAAATTTTAGAATTTTATAGAACAAGAAGAATAGGGCTTATATAAAGATTTATGTGAGATTACATAATTTTGGAATCTCAAAAGGAGAAGAATAGAGCTTACATGAAAAAATATTTAATTTTTCTCGATTCTAAAATTACAATAATTTTTGCGATAACTACCAAGCTTGCAAGCGTGCTGAATCATAGAATGCAAGAAGTTATAGATTTCAAGATTAATATCTTCACCAGCTCTAGGCATCCTCGCGGATAATCTCGTGCATATTTTGTACGCTAACAAAAGACTGGCTAACTTAGAAAAGCTAATAGGACACATGTTTACAAGAGCATTTTTTTCTTTAATTTGAGATTCCGGAACGACTCTCACATGTTATTCTATATATGCTACAAAAACTAATTGGGGAAGAGAACAAGAGGAAGAGAATCTCCTTTTCCTTGAGTAAAGAGTATTTATCGATATCTAACGATAATAAACATTCAATGTATCTCGTACTTTCCTATGTACAGATATGCATATGGCATATTACTAACAAATACAGTTGTCATACAAAAGAGAAATACCGTGATTCCGCCGTACAAAGGATGTAGTAGCCTAGGGGAAAAATTTTTTTTCGCAGATTCACTCACTAACGTGATGATCAGAGAGTTCAGTATTCCAGTCATGGCGGAGGACGCCAACTGATGAAGAAACTCCAGGCACATAACGAGCTCGTACAACGGCGACTCGTTGCACTCGAACGGAAGCTGCATCTTCAGCGTGAATTCGCGAACAGGCGTGTCGATCGCATCGGCCTCATAGTCGTCAGTATTGGATACGAGAACGCCGATGCCGTAACTAAACGCTCCCATCGAATGAAGACCGATGATCACGTTGGAGAAGCGCCGTGACAGATTGGCCTTACTCGTCATGGTATGCACGTCGTTCACGGTGGCTTCCTTCCAATCTGAGACCATCGCAGCTAGGGCGTCGTAAAATATACTGCGACAGTTTACTCTATTCGTTTACTCTATAGATAATGATTCGCGCTAAGATGGAAACAATTAGAGAAAGCAGACTGATCCTCCGAACGCATATTTAACGGTAAATATAAATATTCTTTACATATTAAAATATGCATGAATATTATTGCAATAATATCATCAAGCAAAACAAGACAAAGAAACCCTCAAAGATAAAAATTATGTTAAGTTCCTTTCTCTTCTATAAATCAATTTTTTATATATAAAAAAATAGTTTTTATACTTTCACAAGAATATAGATAGGAAAAGATACGGGATATAAAATTGTTATTTGAGGGAGAAAAAACTTTTGTTATCATACGAATAAATAAATAAGAATTTTTAAGAATAAAGTACAAATATGACAGTCACAGTTTCCATCTTCGAGTGAGAGGCACGGTGTATAAAATGTTTTCTTACCGACTATTCAACCATAATATAATCAATTTCAGAAGCATCACAGTGTATTCCATAGTGACGCTTAAACCGTCCAAAAGATGCGAGAGATCTCTTGTTCCAAAGTGGATAACAATCCACCAGTACTGACAAGTCTGTATTATGCCTATGGTGAATATCCAGCCGCATCGAAACAATAATGGGTACGGCGCGTTTGGCCAAATCCCGACAATTCGAAGACCAATTTGTATCGAGAGGGCAACAGAATTTGCAACCATCGTTTTACCGCGTCTTGCGTAGCACAGTTTACCGAATTTATACCGAAATTTACATGTATTAGCGTGAAATTTGACCAAGAATTCGGCAGCAAAGTAATCCAAAATACACCTGTGATTTCGCTAACGTTGTAAAGTCACGGACATCAAGATACGTATAACTCTGAAATGACTCTAGAATAGCGAGTTGATCACGTAAAGCTTGAGACGACTAGACGCAGCCGTAGCAAATCACCGACCAATTGTAACCGATCGAGAATACAAGAGTTATACATGAGGCGGAGGGAATTAAAGTTGCAGCAATCAAGCGATGATTACGAAGAGTTGCAAGATCGAAAAGATATAATGTTGTTTTCATTTTATCGTAAAAAATGTCGATGGCAAGGAGAAGAAATATATTATTTACTTGAAAAATGCAAGAGATGTCTTTTTCTACGCTTTACGCGAGAGCAAACGCTTAGAATCTACCATAATGGGCCGTCATAATGACGAACAATTTTCCAAGAAATATGGTGGAAATGGCACCGATCATGCGCGCGTTGATGTTTCCAAGCGCGTACAGTATGCAAACGACGATGTCTATAGAAGTGCAGTGATATCGCGGACTGCGCGTGAAAGAGAGTTTCAGATTCCCGGTTTTTAACGGTTTTAATAATGAAATTTTTGGTAAATATATACTAATATATAGTAAAATTGTTCTTAATTAAAACAGCACAATAATTTTTCATTTTTTTTTTATATACGTTCATTCTCTTGTATCATGGTCAGATATTTGATCCAATGAAGAGGAACAAAGAACGGCAACAATTCACACGCTAAAAATAATGTTATAGGTGAGATAGAATTATATTAACTAAACGGCTTTTCTCTGTGTCATATTATCAAGTCGTTTAGTATAATCCATTTACAGTAGGAAATGGATAATACTTTGACATTCACAGCCAGTGTATACAGTTTTATATACGCTTTATCGGCATCAATACATTGCATATAAAACAGACATATACGACGCAGAGGCTTTCAAACTCTGAAAAATTAAATAAAATGTAATGAATCAATTTACTCTGTAGTAAGTAGATTTCAATTAAATAAAACAGTTTAATCATATTATAAACAAAATAAATGATATAAATTATGTTTAATCATATCTGTTTTTTAACAATTGTTACACAAATAATGTAAAATAAGTATCAAATTTCCAAAATTACTATTACACGTGATATATTGTCAATTTTATTGTCCTTAAATTATATTATCCCGTTTCAAATTAAATTAATTTAATTAGCTGTCCTTTCATAATTATACTTGGAAACATTTAAGTGCTAAATACGAACAGCCAATATTGATCTCGTAAACAGTGCATTGTCATCAAATTATAATTTAAATGTACATTACGATATCTATTCTTAAATTTATATATGCGTAACTATAAAAAAATCCACAGTTCCGTCATTACAGAAATCTTACGTCTGTGAATCCTTCCAACGATAAATCCATAAATTTTCCCGCAGTGATCGTCAGCCGCCTTTGCGATCTCATTATCACAAACAGCAGAATACGACTATCTCGAGGCTTGAGATCGTACCAAAGCGATTCGTATGTCGTATCAGCGATCGTTCTGCTCTAGAATGCAAACGAGGGACAGGTACGTGGAGAAGGATGGAAGAATGAAAAACGCGAAGCCAGGTGCGTCAGGTGCGTCAGGTGCTTCGGCACTCGCGAGCGCAGTGCTTTATTATCGCGTAAGTATTAGCCCATTACTTTTACACTAGCAACATAACTTAATGGCTTTTTTTTGTGCGAAAAGATTCTCTATCGTGGTGATTTCAGATACTCACTTTATTGCTGATATATTCGCCAGCGAAACAAAAGATAAATGCCTCCAAGGTGATAGCAAGGTAGAAAAATACAGTCTTTACCAACATCCTGATACCTTCGTTTGTGCCCAATGACTGTAAGCCAAGAAGATGATCAGGAAGAACGTTCGACGATTGCTATAACGCAGAGGTCTCAGACAACAAGGGAGCAACAAGTGGATAATTTTCCCTCTCCCCTATCATATGCGGCCCATAACGGGCCCCCGATTAATTCTGTAGCTTTTCAGCAAAGTTGATTCCTCCTTTGACATCACTATATCGAAACAGTGCTCGTACATTCAAAAATCGCTTTTAATTGTACACATATATGTAGGTAAGTCAAATATAAATCGAACTTTTTCCAAAACATTTTATTGGATCAAAATATTTCCAACGCACACCCAAATCATTTTTCTACATAACGATCATGAAAATCTAAGCACTTTATTATAAACTGCGGAAGGTAATTTTTTATACATCACCAAACATATTGTCTATATTTATCTATAATTTACTTAAGATCATCATCGATTCACATCGTAGATATCGAATCGATATCAGCAAACGAAAATCGATAGAAAAATCCCAATATTTTTAGTTGCACATACCTAATGGACATCTAGACATGATGATTTGTCTTCGAATTTCAATACATCGCATGCAATACTGACACATACGAAATAGAGGCCTTCATGATCTATAAAAATCATATTAAACAATAATCAAATAAAAAATAAAAAAACTGTAAGAAAACAGCATAAATATAAATAAATCAATCAAGTGATAATCAATTAAATATTTTTATGAAGCAAATATTTTTTCAATTAATCGCGTTAAGAGCATTTTAATCGATAATCAGAATGTAAATCGATTATTCAGAATAATGTCAGTGTTATTCGGCCAAAGTATATAGGATTTTATTAACAAAAAATTCAGTGTGAAAAACGCAGTACGGAAATCTTACATTCGTAAATCCCTCTAGCGACAAATCCATGATTTTTCCAGCCGTGATGGTGAGCCTCCTTTGTGATCTCAACATTATAAGCAGGATGAGTTTGCTATCGTTGGGTTTCAAGTCGTACCATATTGACTTGTATGCCGCATCGCTGATCATTTTGCTCTGGAGAAGAGTGTTGCAAAGATGTCGCATTGTCAGAATGAGATTAATGTATAAATCGATATCACATATAAAAAATCGATATTGATATAAAACATCGTTCAAAGTTAGCGATAATTCGGACATAGTATTTTTATTGAAATTACCGCTTTGAATTATTGTATTTGCGTTTTCATCAAGAAATTGTAAAGTTTTGTGTTACTGATTGAAATTATATTTAATATGTAAAAAAGCATCATTAAAAAAAGCTCATGTAAGAAACATATACGTAATTGTTGTGGACACATCATAACATATTCATATTAAAAGAGAGAAAATTCAACTCTACGATTATAAATAGTGATACGTTTTCCATTGTGAAAATGCAATTGCCATTATCTAAAATCATGTATGGCTGAATCGTTTTGATACTTCATCTATACAATGTAAAAGTCTAAGGATTTCTATTGTGCGTTCCGACCTTGGCACTGAGATATTCCCCGCAAAAGCAGAAGATAAACGCCTCTACCATAGCAGCCATGTAAAACACTATAGCTTTCATTAATGCAGAGCCATCGATCGTATCGGAAACTTGTATCGTGCTGATCGACTGCAACATCGAACCGCGTTGTAGATCGTCTTTTCGCGCAATTCATTCGCGTTTTACTGAATGATCCACTCACTGTCACAATCATATACCCTAAGCAGCAGGTCACTAACGTGCTCGACATAAATTGGATCAACGCGATGTAACAGAAGATTCTTTCAATTTTGTTTGAAAAGACGATGATTTTCTGATGTTTACCGATCAGTTCTTTCGTGATAGAGACGGCTAGCTGTAGATTATTTTTTTCCGGAGAGATTTCTCTCAATGCATCGCACAAGATATCTATCTGACCGCTCGCATGAAGGATCTGAAAACATACATCCTTAAAAAAACTTGAATCAAGGAGGAAACAATATAATTAATGCACACATAAAAAAAAAGTATAAATATATTATTATACGAGATATATATTATAACATGTGAGAAATTTTAGAATTTTATAGAACAAGAAGAATAGGGCTTATATAAAGATTTATGTGAGATTACATAATTTTGGAATCTCAAAAGGAGAAGAATAGAGCTTACATGAAAAAATATTTAATTTTTCTCGATTCTAAAATTACAATAATTTTTGCGATAACTACCAAGCTTGCAAGCGTGCTGAATCATAGAATGCAAGAAGTTATAGATTTCAAGATTAATATCTTCACCAGCTCTAGGCATCCTCGCGGATAATCTCGTGCATATTTTGTACGCTAACAAAAGACTGGCTAACTTAGAAAAGCTAATAGGACACATGTTTACAAGAGCATTTTTTTCTTTGATTTGAGATTCCGGAACGACTCTCACATGTTATTCTATATATGCTACAAAAACTAATTGGGGAAGAGAACAAGAGGAAGAGAATCTCCTTTTCCTTGAGTAAAGAGTATTTATCGATATCTAACGATAATAAACATTCAATGTATCTCGTACTTTCCTATGTACAGATATGCATATGGCATATTACTAACAAATACAGTTGTCATACAAAAGAGAAATACCGTGATTCCGCCGTACAAAGGATGTAGTAGCCTAGGGGAAAAATTTTTTTTCGCAGATTCACTCACTAACGTGATGATCAGAGAGTTCAGTATTCCAGTCATGGCGGAGGACGCCAACTGATGAAGAAACTCCAGGCACATAACGAGCTCGTACAACGGCGACTCGTTGCACTCGAACGGAAGCTGCATCTTCAGCGTGAATTCGCGAACAGGCGTGTCGATCGCATCGGCCTCATAGTCGTCAGTATTGGATACGAGAACGCCGATGCCGTAACTAAACGCTCCCATCGAATGAAGACCGATGATCACGTTGGAGAAGCGCCGTGACAGATTGGCCTTACTCGTCATGGTATGCACGTCGTTCACGGTGGCTTCCTTCCAATCTGAGACCATCGCAGCTAGGGCGTCGTAAAATATACTGCGACAGTTTACTCTATTCGTTTACTCTATAGATAATGATTCGCGCTAAGATGGAAACAATTAGAGAAAGCAGACTGATCCTCCGAACGCATATTTAACGGTAAATATAAATATTCTTTACATATTAAAATATGCATGAATATTATTGCAATAATATCATCAAGCAAAACAAGACAAAGAGAAACCCTCAAAGATAAAAATTATGTTAAGTTCCTTTCTCTTCTATAAATCAATTTTTTATATATAAAAAAATAGTTTTTATACTTTCACAAGAATATAGATAGGAAAAGATACGGGATATAAAATTGTTATTTGAGGGAGAAAAAACTTTTGTTATCATACGAATAAATAAATAAGAATTTTTAAGAATAAAGTACAAATATGACAGTCACAGTTTCCATCTTCGAGTGAGAGGCACGGTGTATAAAATGTTTTCTTACCGACTATTCAACCATAATATAATCAATTTCAGAAGCATCACAGTGTATTCCATAGTGACGCTTAAACCGTCCAAAAGATGCGAGAGATCTCTTGTTCCAAAGTGGATAACAATCCACCAGTACTGACAAGTCTGTATTATGCCTATGGTGAATATCCAGCCGCATCGAAACAATAATGGGTACGGCGCGTTTGGCCAAATCCCGACAATTCGAAGACCAATTTGTATCGAGAGGGCAACAGAATTTGCAACCATCGTTTTACCGCGTCTTGCGTAGCACAGTTTACCGAATTTATACCGAAATTTACATGTATTAGCGTGAAATTTGACCAAGAATTCGGCAGCAAAGTAATCCAAAATACACCTGTGATTTCGCTAACGTTGTAAAGTCACGGACATCAAGATACGTATAACTCTGAAATGACTCTAGAATAGCGAGTTGATCACGTAAAGCTTGAGACGACTAGACGCAGCCGTAGCAAATCACCGACCAATTGTAACCGATCGAAAATACAAGAGTTATACATGAGGCGGAGGGAATTAAAGTTGCAGCAATCAAGCGATGATTACGAAGAGTTGCAAGATCGAAAAGATATAATGTTGTTTTCATTTTATCGTAAAAAATGTCGATGGCAAGGAGAAGAAATATATTATTTACTTGAAAAATGCAAGAGATGTCTTTTTCTACGCTTTACGCGAGAGCAAACGCTTAGAATCTACCATAATGGGCCGTCATAATGACGAACAATTTTCCAAGAAATATGGTGGAAATGGCACCGATCATGCGCGCGTTGATGTTTCCAAGCGCGTACAGTATGCAAACGACGATGTCTATAGAAGTGCAGTGATATCGCGGACTGCGCGTGAAAGAGAGTTTCAGATTCCCGGTTTTTAACGGTTTTAATAATGAAATTTTTGGTAAATATATACTAATATATAGTAAAATTGTTCTTAATTAAAACAGCACAATAATTTTTCATTTTTTTTTTATATACGTTCATTCTCTTGTATCATGGTCAGATATTTGATCCAATGAAGAGGAACAAAGAACGGCAACAATTCACACGCTAAAAATAATGTTATAGGTGAGATAGAATTATATTAACTAAACGGCTTTTCTCTGTGTCATATTATCAAGTCGTTTAGTATAATCCATTTACAGTAGGAAATGGATAATACTTTGACATTCACAGCCAGTGTATACAGTTTTATATACGCTTTATCGGCATCAATACATTGCATATAAAACAGACATATACGACGCAGAGGCTTTCAAACTCTGAAAAATTAAATAAAATGTAATGAATCAATTTACTCTGTAGTAAGTAGATTTCAATTAAATAAAACAGTTTAATCATATTATAAACAAAATAAATGATATAAATTATGTTTAATCATATCTGTTTTTTAACAATTGTTACACAAATAATGTAAAATAAGTATCAAATTTCCAAAATTACTATTACACGTGATATATTGTCAATTTTATTGTCCTTAAATTATATTATCCCGTTTCAAATTAAATTAATTTAATTAGCTGTCCTTTCATAATTATACTTGGAAACATTTAAGTGCTAAATACGAACAGCCAATATTGATCTCGTAAACAGTGCATTGTCATCAAATTATAATTTAAATGTACATTACGATATCTATTCTTAAATTTATATATGCGTAACTATAAAAAAATCCACAGTTCCGTCATTACAGAAATCTTACGTCTGTGAATCCTTCCAACGATAAATCCATAAATTTTCCCGCAGTGATCGTCAGCCGCCTTTGCGATCTCATTATCACAAACAGCAGAATACGACTATCTCGAGGCTTGAGATCGTACCAAAGCGATTCGTATGTCGTATCAGCGATCGTTCTGCTCTAGAATGCAAACGAGGGACAGGTACGTGGAGAAGGATGGAAGAATGAAAAACGCGAAGCCAGGTGCGTCAGGTGCGTCAGGTGCTTCGGCACTCGCGAGCGCAGTGCTTTATTATCGCGTAAGTATTAGCCCATTACTTTTACACTAGCAACATAACTTAATGGCTTTTTTTTGTGCGAAAAGATTCTCTATCGTGGTGATTTCAGATACTCACTTTATTGCTGATATATTCGCCAGCGAAACAAAAGATAAATGCCTCCAAGGTGATAGCAAGGTAGAAAAATACAGTCTTTACCAACATCCTGATACCTTCGTTTGTGCCCAATGACTGTAAGCCAAGAAGATGATCAGGAAGAACGTTCGACGATTGCTATAACGCAGAGGTCTCAGACAACAAGGGAGCAACAAGTGGATAATTTTCCCTCTCCCCTATCATATGCGGCCCATAACGGGCCCCCGATTAATTCTGTAGCTTTTCAGCAAAGTTGATTCCTCCTTTGACATCACTATATCGAAACAGTGCTCGTACATTCAAAAATCGCTTTTAATTGTACACATATATGTAGGTAAGTCAAATATAAATCGAACTTTTTCCAAAACATTTTATTGGATCAAAATATTTCCAACGCACACCCAAATCATTTTTCTACATAATTTCCATTAACATCTAACGGCTTCGGACACATCCCACTACTTTTTATGACACGGAAATAAAAACTGACAATCCGGTGACAAAAATGCTTAGATTTTAGTAGAAACTATGTAGAAAAATTACTTGGGTGTGTGTTGGAAATATTTTGATCCAATAAAAATGTTTCGGGAAAAATTCGAATTATATTTGACTTGCCCACGTATAAGACAAACCTTGTATTTATGCTGTTAAATGCGACATTTAATCCGCATAAGTGTATGTAAATCTGAGACCACTGTTATAAAGTATTAACAGATGATATTAAAAAGAAAAATGTGTATAAAACGAAGCGGTGTCTTAAAATGCAATTGAAATTTTATGTTATTATCCGTTCTTAATTAAATGTATAAAAGCCCAAAGTACATTCAACATGCATGTATAAGTAAAATAATATATATACACACACATTGCAATTTGTTATAAAGCGCAATGATTAATAAAATTAAAAAAATTAGTGAAAAAAATTTCAAGTATGTACGAGATGAGATATACTTAAAAAATTTTAATACAACGAATATTTGCAGATCGGATACTTACAGTTGCTATGAGAAACCCGATGCAACATATGATCATCGTATTCGATATAAATTGCATCAGCGCGATAGGGGAGAAAAGATTCTCGATGTTGTCCGAAAAAGCAATAATCTTATGATGTTTATTGATTAAGGATCTCACAATAGCAGTAGATAAACCATGTTTATTATCCTTAGGATAAATCTCTTCTATCTGCTGTTGCATAATGTCTATTTGTCCACCAATGTGCAACATCTACGCATATCATGATAATTATTCAGTTATGAGTAATATTGACTAAGCATACATTTAAACCAATAAAGCATCAGGAGCTCAAGACAGAACGTGGTCACGTTCGTCCATTACGGGCAGGAAGGTGGAATAACCGGAAGCGAAATTACTCAACCCCTAAAGACTGCACGGAATCGTGAAAGACCCGACATTACATTGACATGCGCAAAGATCGCGGATCGAAATGGGAATCGATCAAATGGGAAGAATGACAGATTTAAGAGAGGGGATATATGAGACCCTTACTATATAAGAGGGAGGTACAATATAAGAATATATGATCTGGCAATCGATCGCTCTTCGGGATCGAATTTATTAGTCTTTGCATGACGCGTGCGTTCTCTATCGTATCGTTTCGCGTCCTTTAATTTCTTCCACTTTATTTCATTTTTCTTAAACCAAGCATTTTTTTGACTTCACATATCCGTAATAATACAAGTATCGGCGCATTATTAATTATTATTTATCAGTTCAAAATTTTAAAGAAAAAATGTTTATAGAGAAATATTTGCCCGATTTTTGGTTGATATTTTTATTACCTTTGAAAAAAACAAAATACTGGTTTATTTAATTACCAGTAATTTGATTCTCATATTTAATATAATATTTCCTAGAATAGATTTTCTTTATTAAACTTCCTTTTTTCTTATGTAACTTAACTAAAAAGAAAAGAGAAAAAATTCTAGGATACAGGTTCCGTAGGGAAATTATATTACATGCATCTACAATATTTATTATTTATTATCACAATCTTGACCTATTGTGTGTGAATCTTATCATGGAGACATCTTCTAATTAATGCATCTTGCATTTGCGTTTCATCAAAAAGTTGAAAAAAATATTATGTTATTAAAATTATAAAAATTACAAACTGTGACATATAAATAACACAATAAGAAAGATCATAAATGCTGTTGATAATAACTTACCAAAGTAACGATTAATGCATCGAGCATACCAATAGTGGAGGCAACCGCCATTAAATGAAGGAATTGGACGCACGCCACAATCTCGTAGATTGGCGATTCGCAAAAAACGAAAGGCAATTCCATCTTTATAAGCAATTGGCGACAATCGTCATTGATCGGCTTGCGAAAATCGATGGTCGCGATACTGTAAAGCAATACCGCCGTCGAGTAAATACCGATGACCACTTTCGAGTAACGATGTGAGAGGATCGCTTTGTCGATCATGACATACATGCTGGAATACTCATACCAGTCATTGGACATCGCCCTCAGAATATCGTTGAATATTCTGCAATACAACACTTCACAACGTTATGCAACAATAATGTATTTTACATTTGTGAGATGCCGTTAAAATGTGCTTTTGCCAATTCACAAAAGAAGGCGAAGCTCACGGAAGGAAACACGATTTGAATAAATTGATTACCAATATCGTTTATTTTTCATCAAAAATAGAATTTGTAATTATCAAACATCAAATATCTATATTAAAAATATATTTTTATATAAATTATATACATATTGGTGCCACATAAAAATATGGCAATTTTTCAAATCAATGAAAAAATATAGAGAACACATACCGATTATTAATCCATAGGATAATCAGCTTGAAAAAAAGAAGGTTGTACGGTAAGGTAGTGCTTAAACCATCTATCAGATTCGGCAGCTCCTCGATTTTGAAGTGCGTCAGAAGATATTGATACTGGAAGATCAGCCCTGTTCCCATCACAATCGACCAAAGTAATCTAAAGATAATAGAAGAATTTGGCCAAATCCCGGTGAAACGGAGGCCGATTTCAACCGGTCGACTGACAGTGCTGGTCGGTACCATCGGCGCCGTTTCCGTTCCGAACGAATCCCGAGCAAAAGTATCTGACGAAGCTACGTACGATCGCTGCGAGCTTACCGGAGGATGAGCTTCCAGATGTTAACATGAATCTCAGATGCAGCCCCACTTTAACAGCCACCGACCAATCGCGAACGCTAGACGTGTATTTTCGTCAGAGTGCTTAGGAATGCAGGAAAAAGTTGCCGCGATCGAACGATGATTGCAGACTTCGGGCAAGGAATCGGCGAGAGTGGTACTTGGTAACTTCCGGAACAGGAAAACCGCCTGTCTCGCTGTTATTGCAGGTGATTTACTTTAAAAATTCAAGCAGAAATAGGGAAAAGCGCGATGCTTCAGTGCAAAAACGTAAAAATTGTCGAAGTGACCGTCGTGATCGTCAAGAGAAGTTTCCGGAACAAAAGATAGTGGTGAATCTTCGCGGACGATCGGCAGAAATGCATAAAGAAGTGCAACAGAGAATGAGAGAGGCAAAGAAAAAGAATTGACTTCCAAAATGTATGTAATCACGGTTTATATTCATGTGCACGATTTAAAGTGATCCTGGAATCAGGAGTATATCTTATATGTTGGGAAACTGACACATTTATCTGACGCTTATATCTACATTTACCCTGAACGAGAGAGAAAATTTCGATAAACACCTGAATTTTGTACAATGCGAAAGATAAACATGGTAGAATAAATGCTGCTATATATTTTTAAATTATAAGGATACATTTAGCGTGTAAATCTTTGCATTCCGCTCTTTTTCCTTTTCCCGAAATTTATAAGGAAAATGTGAAACGTGTATAAAGGAAACGACAACTGAATAAAACGTAAAAATAAATTTATCTGACGCTTATATCTACATTTACCCTGAACGAGAGAGAAAATTTCGATAAACACCTGAATTTTGTACAATGCGAAAGATAAACATGGTAGAATAAATGCTGCTATATATTTTTAAATCATAAGGATACATTTAGCGTGTAAATCTTTGCATTCCGCTCTCGAAATTTATAAGGAAAATGTGAAACGTGTATAAAGGAAACGACAACTGAATAAAACGTAAAAATAAAATATTCATATACTATATAATAACCATGTAATGATAATAAAATATAGATATACATATATGTATATATATGTAGACTATATATAGACTTCGCAGTAGATATTTTTTGCTGATTAAGACATTGCAAGCAACACCGATACATAAGATGCTGAAGCTTTTAAAGTCTGAAATATAATATTGATTTTATATAAGAAGAACATTCTATATATTAAGTAAAAAAGAACATCGTATATAACTAAAAGAAGATGCACTTTCTCAAATATCTTACGTCCGCAAAAACTTTCAAAGACAAATCGTTAAATTTCCCGATTGTTAAAGTCAATCGTTTCTGTGATCTTAGCATTAAAATCAATAAAATCCGACTTTCACTCGGTTTCGCGTTGTACCAAAGAGCCTCGTAAGCTGTATTTGCAATCGATTTACTCTGTGAAAAAGAGAAAAATCGTTAACAAACATAAAATATTTAAACAGATCGCTATATATTTTGTAAAAAAAACATCAGCCTTTTCAAGATTATATTATCATGTTGAGAGAGATTCGTGCAATAAAATAATTTTTTGCAAAATAAAAATTATTCTTTTATAACACTAATATTTATGAGACAGAGGCTTATTTAAACCTTATTGCTAAGATGTTCTCCAGCAAAGCAAAAAATAAAAGCTTCCAGAGTGATAGCAATGTAAAAAAAAAGAGACTTTAACAGCAAGGCATATCCTTGATGGGTTTGGATAGTCTGAAATATCAAATCGTTACTACCAGGCGTATGCATACATATCGTTTCATTAATACAAAATATTCGTAGACGAGACTCACTGTCACGATCGCGAATGCTATACCACATATGACAAGTGTATTCGTAAGAAACTGCAACAGCGCGATGTAAGAGAAGAGATTCTCGATATTATCCGAGAGCACAATAATATCTTGATGCTTGCGAATAATTGCGCTTGTTGCGTCCTTGTACGACTTGTACTCACGTTTTCCCGAAAATAGCTCGAGCAATCCTCGACACACAATATCTATCTGGCCACTTACGTGTAGTACCTAAAATCAAGGTAGTACTGCGTGAAAGCAAATGGGTCTTACGATTTAGAGAAACGACTTAGCAGATCTTTACATTCGAAATGTGATATGATTATTGCTAATACACGTAGCCAATACAAGTGTTTTAACATCAATTTTTAGGCAAATTTAGAAAAAAAAAAGATCAGAATAATTGTTTATACAACTAAACAATATTAATATAAATCTAAAGAAAGAGAGAATATCAAAGAGAGCGAAAAGAGCTTACCAGTGTTATAACTAGCGCATCCAGCATCCCAATTACCGAGGCGTTACTCAGTAACTGAACAAATTGAACGAACATAACGATTTCATAAACAGGAAAGAATTCGTAAACAAAGGGGAATTGCATTTTAAGAAAGAGCTCCTTTTCAACGGAATCAACATTGATATTGTTAAATTCTATTATTACGGAGATGTAGACTATGACGGCCATAAAATATAAGCTGATAGTCAACATCGAGCAACGATGCGAGAGATTCGCTTTATTCGTCATGATACGCATGTTGTAAGCTATGGAATTGCAGTTGCGCCAATCCCGCGATATCGATGTTAAAATATCGTTAAATAATCTGAAAACATTATCCTTAACGTATATCACACAAATTAGATGTTCATCTAACTAAAATTATGGAAAAGAAAATTGTAACTCTTTGCGGATATGGTATTCACTGCCGATGGATAACTAATTTCTTAAGCTTCTTTGTCGATTTTTTTATCGATAAGATAAGCCAAAAAAATCGTCATATATGATCAACGACTTAATAGAAGACATTTTCGGCCTGTATATCGAAAAATGATTATATATAACAAAATATCTTACCTCTGATTCAGCCAAAGAATAATGAGTTTCAAGCAAAGCAAACTGTAAGGCAGCGAGGTGCTCACGCTGTCTACCAGATTTGGGAAATTATTAGTTTTGATGCAGGCGATGATATATCTGAACTGAAATATTTGCGCGAGACTTAAAGAGATCGTCCAACAGATCCGATATAACATGCTGCGCGGGGAACCGGGCCAAATCCCGATGGCTCGCAGCCCGAATTCGACCGCGGGACTCACGGTGGTCGTGAAACCCATTTTACATTAACTTCCGATTAACGAGACGACTTCTCTTTGACAATATATAAGCTCCCTTAATATCGCCCTTAATGGTAGATGTCCAAAAGTTACCGCAATGTTACTAGTTTGATACGACGTAGGGAATCTCACCGCTCGCCATGCAAGTCGAGTAATCCTCAAGGATTCCGGAGGGGTCGTCGCCCAAGCACGAGCCCTCCGCGGTGGTCGTCGACCGTTCGGAAATTATTCATCGCACATACGAATGGTATATTATAAGAGAAGAAACTACAACCGTATGATTTCAGACTTTTTCTCGACGAAAAGAAGAGATATCGAAATAATAAGTTGTGCGCTTTACATGTCGAGTATCATTGAGGCCGCCATGTTATTTGCTTTAAAAATGCAGAACGGTTGCTCTTTTGCTACTGACAATGAGATATGGTCAAAAGCGAGACGGAGGACTTCGCAAAAAAGGGAATCGAACATTCTCGGCACGACCAGCGTCAAGAGAGTGCAGATTTCTTGTCCCGAGTTGTTCTCTACATATATCTAGTGCTGTATGTGCAGTGTTAAAAAATAATTCATTACTACATAATATATATTAATCACAGAGACATACATATAAAATGAGCTTATTAACAAAAAAAGAGTGCTGATTGTTGTGATTCACATAGTGTTCTTCATATTAGTGAACAAATAAATTTGTTATAAACCGAAATTTCGGTTTCCTTGTCTCTTGATCAATTGACAAACTTATCTTTATCCTAAAAATAAACAGCGAAAAATGAATAAAGTCAGAAAAAGTATCTTTTTTACACAATTTTTAAATAATTCTTTATAATTATTTCTATTGTTATTGATTAAGATAGTGTCGAAGCATTTATTGTACCACAACGAGTTAATTTTAGATAGCAATATCTGTACGCATTATTCCTTTTTTAAATTTCAATATATATGGCATATAATATTTTAATAATGGTGTATAACATCCGGCAATGTAAAATATCGCCAAAAGTGATGATCCAGAATTGTCCTGATAGTTATGACTTACCAATGATTTAAAATATGTCAAGTCAAATATCTGGCAATACTCTCAATACTGGCAATATCTCTTCCTCAAAGTTCCGTTATGATATACAAAATTAATTCAAAACAAAATTCGATAAAATTTATTAAAATAATTTCGCGTGTCTTATTGAGAATTATGTAATTATCTGACAAAAGGCCGCAAAGTAATATATATAAAATAAGTAAAACGTTAATCGTAAAATTAAGGTCTCTTTTCAGCATGGAATTAACTCACTAACAATAAGAGCTTTCGGCA